CGCTCGGGTCACGCTTCTCAGCTACGTCCAATCAAAAACGTTAAAACGCACAAACTCAAAATTAAATGATAGAGATATAGTTATATTATTTTATGTTTTAAGTTCAATATAAGAAAATCCAATTGTGCAAAGCAAGTTGTTACAATTTTTGCTTAATAGTTTATATAAAGGCTGTGAAAATAACAAATAGTCTTGTGAATTCTTAAACATAAACGTATATTAAATTTTATCGGGGTAGAGTAAATCTTCAATAATGACCATCGTGGATGAAAATTACATACCTCAGAATAAACAAGATTTATATGATGCTATTCTCAATACATTGTTTCCAATCCTTTTAATAAAATTTCTTGATCTTAGTTGGAATAAAAATGAAAAGAAGATGAAAAGAACATTTGATAAACGTAAAGAAAATGATGCAAAAATAATTGATGCGGTACAAGGTATCCGGAAAGCTGCAAATGAAGATGTGCTAAAAGATGAATACGAAAAAGTCAAAACGTGCGGATTATATAAAAAAACTAAAAGTCAAGTCATTATTGACAATCTGTACAAAAGAAAAAATGTCTGTTTCAGAATCGACAAGAGTTTGAATATTTCTGAGGCAAATAAACTAATACTTAAACGTGAACTCATCAAATTAATTCCTAATACTATAGAGGATGGTGATGATGATGAAGAATTGGCAAATCTGGAAATAGAATTAAAAAGGTGTAAAAAAGAAATTTCAGATAATGAAGAAATTTTAGATAAAAAAGAAATTTTGGACGTATTAGACGAAATTTTAAAAGAAATTGAAGAAGAAAGGGAAGAATATTTTAAGATAAGTCGGGTGTCAACATTTAGGGCAATAGCATTGCCATTATTTGATGATGCTTTATACAATATTGTTACTTGGACGATTCCATTAATAGTTGCCTTTGCCTATGATGATCTCTTAAGTATAAAAATTTTTTCTTTTATAAGCATGGGTTTACATGTAATTTGTTCTATTTTCACAATCAATTTTAAATTTATGGCAACAAAGTTTTTTAAATATGATGAAATCACTGCTAATAATAGAGGATTTTGTTGGACATTTAAAGATTAATATCTAAATAATCTAGTTAATTGATACACTACTGTTTTTTTTTTTCTAATCTTATTTCCAGTAATTGTTATTCCGATATTTTGGATTATTGTTATTAGTAGGCATCCTTTTGATCTAATGAGTTTTGTATTTCTTATATTATTTGCATTTTTATTATTTCAATTAGTTTTTCTATTTGGTATGGTTTGTTGCTGTTGTTGTTATGATTTTGATTGGTATGATCATCTGGTTTTTGATTGGCTTTTTCCAATTGCTTGTGTTAATTCATTTTATGCGCCAAATATTTTACAAACATTGATTATTCTTTTAAAATGGCCAATTAATTTTTATTTTCTAAAAGCATGCGTCTTTATACTATCTTTATCTTTAATAAGAAATTTAAATTATTATTTTGATGACATTCCTGATAATTTTTGGATTACTGCAACTTCTATAACTCAATATGTGTTACGTGAGTTTATTTTTGTCTTAAAAAAAACAGTGAAATCAAAACAAAAGAAAAAAAGATAACTAACGATATAGCCTAATATTAATATTTAATTTTTTATTTTATATTTATTGCGAGATTTTTTTTATACATATATGTTATATAACATTAATGTATCTAAAAAATAAACTTTTTATACTGATTGATACATTTTTTATAATAATTTTTTAATAATTTTTTAATAAAGACATGTTATAAATATTCTATAGCATTTAAATTCTTATCGTTACATAATCACGAATGTTTCATGCTAATAAAACATACATAATGAAATCATATAACAAATCAAATTATATGATTTCAAATATGTTTAGACTACAACAAAAGACGCAAAGTTCAAAGACACGCTACTATGAAAATGTAAAAGCGAACTTCTCTCTTGGTCATCAATACCGATTTTAAAATTAAATTGGGGCTGGAGCGGAAAGGAACGGAGTGGAAGATCTTAAATATTTAAAAGTTTTGCCGATGTCCGGCTCCCACCCAAGTAATAATGTTGAAAGTTAGGCTACCTGTGTAGAACTTTTATCAATCATCGGTTTATTGAAATTTACACTATTTGACAGCGAATTTGTACAAAAGAACAACCAATTTAGTACAGATGAATATTCAATTTTGTACAAGAAAATAATGATAATTTGTAAT